TGCATGTTAACATCTATATTTTCTTATATTTTATTTATTTTGTTAACTATTTCCCAATTACATTTTAATCCAGTTCAGGCTATACTATGGAGTGTTGCTGGCAGCACTTTTGACATCTCTGCCTACACCATACTGCCTCTGCTTAAAGGAACCTCCAGGTCACTTGTAGATACTGACAATCCACTCTTCTCTCTGCCTTTTGCCCCTTGATGCTGAGAGGGACAAGTGAAGTTGTCATTCCTTCCTTGTGTTAATAGATTGGTTTTCCTGTTATGATCACTTGGCAAGAATGTTCTCTTCTCACTCCTATGGTTTTAAGAGTTACTGTACTGCTGGCAAATCAAAAGTGGCTAAAGCTCAGCCAGGAAGGAAGCAGGAGAGTTAATACAGAAAGAGATAGGATCAGTCCTTATTCCAAAGCAGTTTCTTTGAGGTAGCTGAGTTTATTCAATAAGAGCTTCCAGACACAGGGACTGATTGTCTATTATTACTGTCTGTAATATATCACCATCATCTACTACTACTATTACCAGTACTAGATAACATTTATCTATATAGTGCTTTAAAGTTACAAAACATTTTTCATTAGTTATTGTATTTGAACCTCAAAACACCCCTATAAGGTAGGTAGTGCAAGTATTATTCCATTTTACAGATGAGGAAGTTTAGATTTAGAGAGAGGTTAGCTGGTGTGACTAAGGTACTACAGGTAAAGCAGTTAGAATTTAGAGATGGGTCTTCTGACTCAGCTAGGCTGGAAGTCAGGAAAACTCATGTTCCTGAGTTCAATCCAGCTTCACATATTTACTAGTTATATCACCCTGGGCAAGTCACTTAACCCTGTTTGCCTTAGTTCCTCATCTGTAAAATGAGCTGGAGAAGGAAATGGCAAACTACATCAGTATCTTTGCCAAGAAAACCCCGCATGGGCTCATGAAAAGTTGGACATGACTGAAATGGCTCAACAACAGACTTCTGACTCTTAGTCACAGGACAACAAATCTAGAGCAGAAAAGGTTCTGAGGCCATTTAGTCTAGTCCCCTTATTTTACAAATGAGGAAACAGATCCACAGAGTTTGAGTGACTTGTTAGGCAGGTAATAAATATCATTGAAATTTCAACTATAGTTCTCTAACTTCAGAGCTGGGGCTGTTTCCATGTACTTCACTGCCTACTTGTTTCTTAGCCTTCTTAGTTACTCAGGTGATCCGTTCTCTCCCTCTCACAGGAACTTACTCTTTCTCTCTTTCTCCACCCTCATCTCTCTCTGTATCTCTCCCTTTCTCTCCTCTCTCTGTTTCTCTGCCTCTTTCTGTCTTTCTGGCTGGCTGGCTCTCTGTCTCTGTATGTGTGTCTCTCTCTCCTCCCCTGGTGTGTTCCCTCCTTCATACTCTTTGGGATTTATCACATGTTGCTTATGCCTTCCAAGTCATTCAACGAAAGGAAGACCATCAAAATTGTTTGTTCATAAGCATAATGATATGACAGATATCAAAATAGAGATAAAAATTCTGAGCCAGAATATTATCTAGTCCAACACTTTGCCCAGGGCCCTATGTGGATATGTGGCAGACACAGCATTTGAATCTAGGTCTCCTTATTCCTAGGCTAGTACTCATTCTGTTGTGCTACATTGCTTCTTGTATCAATTAGAGAAAATAAGTATTTTAAATGGCAAGGGAGAGAAATCCATATAATTATACCAACAGATCAAGACTTTGCCAAAAAGACTTCTGGGAAAGTTGTATACATACTGTTACAGTCTCCCAAATAATCTCTGTAATCATTGCAGTGTAAAAGTTGCTTTACGATATCAGAAACGGAACAAAAACTAATGGTTAGTCATTCATTTATTTCCCTAAGAGAGTTAATAATTGACCTGCAGCAATGTTTGCTTTCCAAAAGTCCATAGCAATTTAGTTTATCTTGATAGAATTATGAAGTATTCCCTTCCACCAAATCCATAAGGTATAGAATGGAACGTAAATGGCCATAACCTTGAATTATCACCCCTTCCTCTATCCAGTCCCTATCTCACTTACTCCTCATCTGTCTGCTTCACCTATGGGTAAAGGTTTATTTAGGTCTGTGCCAGCAAGAGAGGGAAGTGTGAAAACTATAACGGACCCAACTGAGTCTTCTTCAAGGTCCTACAAGGAAAGAGATCAGGAGGAAGGTCAGGGTGTCAAAGAGTGGTGTTTGGTGGCTGACTATGTCAGGATGGGAAGCCCAGGCTTATATGGGGTACCACCAGCTCAGTCCACCAACCTGGAACCAAAGTTTGACTGTGCAGGAATATGATAGTTTGAGCTGGCCAGGCAGAAGAGGATGTGCCAATCAAAGAACTATAAAATTCCCTCGTCCGTTGATTTTTCTCTCCAGGTAAAATCTGTGACCAAGCTGAAAGAGCCTATTCCCAAAATATCTTTCTTGCTGCTTAAAGAGAAACAATTTCCTCTGCAGAGAACAAAGCAATAAAGATAAATTGCTTCCTTTTGTGGATTAGTCACTGGACAAGAAACTCTGACATTGGGTTGACAAGCAAGACTGAAGCATAGACGTATAGGAGTGTGCAAAGAGACACCTGACGACCTAGTTTTTATTATTAATGTTTTAGTTATCAAAAGGAACTATTAAATCTCCAAGATAGAGAGTAGTCTGGATTGCCTCTGTGAAATTGTGGAATGTCTTTAATGACTGGACTTCTCCCTGAAACAGACCCATCTTCTAACATCAATACCCTTGTGGTTAAAACTGTATACCTTTGAGTCATGGAATATCAATGTCTCTGCAGAATTAATCTTGTGGTTCAACCAAAGGGCAATGCAGGGAAGCATGGTGAGTATAAGTGGTATATAGTACATGATATGTAAAATGCTGAGCTATATGGTATATTATACATAGAACGCTGAACTTAAATTCATGGGGCCTGAGTTCAAATTCTGGTTCTTCCAGCTATTTAGGTAAGTCAGTCCACTTTTCTAGGCTTCATTTTCCTCATCTAGAAGGCATGGATGTGTTTGGTCAGCACGACATAGTGATTAGAAAACTGGATTAGGAGTTAGGCCCAAATTCAAATCCCACCTCAAATGCTGTTGTTGAGTCATTTCAGTCATATCTGACTCTTCATGACCCAATTTGGGATTTTCTTAGCAAAGCAGATTGCCATTTTCTTGGATTGGTTTGCCATTTCCTTCCCTAGTTCATTTGATGATGAAACTTAGGCAAACGTCATTAAGTGACTTGACCAGGGTCACACAGCTAGTAAATGTCTGAGGCCAGATTTCAACTCAGGTTTTCCTGACTCTAGGCCTGGCACTCTATCCACTGTGCCACCTAGTTGTCCCAATATTTATTAGCTATGTGACCCTAGAAAGGGCCATAAATTGGAAATATTAATAGTATCCACCTTACAGGGTTGTTGTGATGATCAAACGAGATAATATATGTACAGTGTTTTGCAAATATTAATATTAAAATATTAAGCTATCATTTTCATGAATTAGGAACTACAACAATAAAGAAAGTGCTCATATCAACAAGATCACAGATCCACTGAAATTTCTAGCTAAGTATAGAAATACAAAAAAATCATGAGTATCAGCTATTCTCCTTTTAGAATCTGTTAACTGACTTATTCCTGTCCTTTTGGTTTCCTTGGGAAGTGTATTTCCAGCTGCAAAAATACATTTTTTGTTGCCATCCCCTAGTCATGAAAGATTAAGGGGACCCACCCAGAAGATTAAATTCCAGTAAGACTGAATAATGCTGATCTTGCACACAAATACTAATTCTCTCATTCACCCTTTTTTGGAGAGGTTTTTCTTTTCCACTTTATTTGAATGGAATGCTTCTCTCACCAAATAATCTTCCCAGTCAAATTTAAGAATGATTGGATCCCCTCATTTGCATATGCAAATAGGAAGTATGTGAGATGCTAGGGTTTTTTTTTTCTCGTAGGCAAGAAAAGTGAAGTAGGAGTTAGTCAAAAGAAAGTTGGGCCCTTCCCTCTGGAAAGTTTCCTATGGCTAGAATTTAATGGGAAAAAACAAACTGTAGGAGCAGACTATTGTACATCTTGCTCCCACTTGTGCATTTCTGTATATCCTACAAGAAGATGATAGCCCAATTATGTTGTTTACCAAATTCCCAAGAAAAATTTTATAATTTATTAATAAGATTGAAGCTAAATAAGAATGGCCCTGGTATCTGCTTTATTCTTCCTCAGAAATACTGCACTGGATGTATGCCTTTATTACTGGACTTCACTTTTATACTTGTCTGTATAATGTCCTCCACTTTTAAAGGGTTTATATGTTGAAAAACTGCTGTGGCTTTTCTTGATCTGTATATGATGTAGAATAAAAGAATAAATACATTTTCTAAGTGGAAAAAAAATTATTTAATCAAGATTGGCCTTGAAGAAAAATTAAGAAAAATGTATCTATTTTTCTTCATAGTAAAGGTAGGGAACCAGGATATGTTGCATGGATCAGACACAACTGATGTATTGCTTATGGTGAGTAGCTTTAAAGATTTTTTTCTTTCATAATCTTTGTTACAAGTGCACCAGCACGATTGCCTCTGATTTGTTCTGTTTAGAGCATACTTCATGGAGCATAAGAATGGACCTTAATGAGCAAGCCCATGGAGCAATTGGGTTCCTCTAATCTTCTAGTGCTCTGGCTCAGGATAAAGGTCTTTTGCTAGGTGGCACAGTGAATGGAGCACTGGCCCTGGAGTCAGGAGGACCTGAGTTCAAATCAAGCCTCAGACACTTACTAGCTATGTGACCCTGAACAAATCACTTAACCCTGTTCACCTTAGTTCCTCAAACAAAAAATGAGCTGGGGAAGAAAATGGCAGATCACTGAGAGAATGGTGAACTGCTGTGGTGCCACAGAAAACTCAGGTCTGTAACACCATAGTCCTTAACAGTCAGAGAAAACATCACTAATGTCTGCCTTGTTTAATGCATTTCTTAATCTGTGTTTCCAGCAAAGGCCAGACAGGCTAGAAACTTGGTGCAAAGAAGCCAGCACAACTAGTAAGTCATTCCACAATGTATTCCTCTTTTTTTTTCCCAAAAAGTCTTTGTCTATTCATTTCATTTGTTGAAATAACTAGTAAGAAAATAATTTGTTTAAATTAGCTGTCAAGATCGAAGAGATGACAAGCTCCTTAAGAGCAAGGACCCTATTTTATTACTTCTTACAGCATCCAGTACAAGACTCTCAATAAATATTAATTACCAGTTGATTGATTGATGGGTAATAAAAGCAGATGCCCATGTCTAACTGGCATACCACACTTTGACATACATGCCATGGCTTGCTGGCTGGGTTTTCTCAGCATGTCATTCCCTTTTATTCAAAAAGACACACCAGTGTTTTTTGCAGATAATAACATGGATTATATATACTGGCTAGTTTGGCTATTTCTAAACTACCTCTAGGATTAAAGACCCGGACTAAAGCTACCTCTATGTTGTTGCCCCCAAATATATAAACTGAACTTTTTGAAGAATAGATGGGGAGCTAATTATCCCTTCTATTTCCAACCCTATCTTTCCCCTCACTCCCAAAGCTCCACCACCCAAGTGGAAACTGCCCTTAGATCCTTTGGGAGATCTGGGCAAAGAAGTTTTGTCTGAATTTTGCTTGAGGAGAAAGAAGTCTTGAATGAGTTGTGGTATATGTCTTTTGAGCAGAGCTTAGGATCATGGTTTCACTCCCAGTCAAAAATTGACCCTGTAGTTATTGTATGTGAATGGACAGGGACAAAGTGAAATAATTTCAATATGTATACAACTTTTTACATCTTTAAAAAACACTTTTCATGTGTAATATTTTGCTGCAATTACATGTTTCACGTAACTGGGCACCAAGTTCACAGGATTTTGACATGTATTCTTTAATTCTTCATTGTGATGCTACACTTTTATCACATTGGATATTAGGCATACCTTTGAAGAACAGTCCATTTTTCCACATCTAGCTACAATTACAGTCCATAGATTTTCAATGATATTTAAATCAGGTCATTTCCCAGGCCTTGGAGACATATTTATTTCTATTTCTCATGTACATTTCTAAACTTTTTGTGATGCGCGGCATAGTGCAAAGTTATGTAGCAATATTCCATCTCCATTTGGGAATTTCTGTAATCCTAGAGCTATTTTTGCTTCTCTGGATATCATTATATTCAACAGAGTTCATCATTATGATTGGGATTAAAACTTACAGGCTCTCAAAAAGTGACGAATGCTCAAAACATTTTTGGGTAGGTGTTTTCATTAGATTAAGGTCTTTCAAGTTCATTTGGATATATAAGTAAACAGTACCTTTATCCAGTTTTCTTTTTCCTTAGTATTGTCTTGCCCATGGCAAATGGTTTTAGTAGTCAACAGCTGGGGGGTGGGGGGAGTTGTTTGTTTTATTTTGCTTTGTGTTTGTTTTGTTTCATTTATTTTTGTTTTTGCTGATCTTACTGTTCTTCCAATTTCAAGAAGCTTATGTGGTACCATAGAGGAATCATTAACAACTCCAACAGCTTCCAGGTCCCTCTGAACATCTTTGCTTGTTTTCTGAAGTTGAAATAGGTCATTTTGTAGTGATAGATTGTAGTTTTTTCATATTATTTTTTTTTCCATTTTAAACCACACTTCCTTTTGTGTTTAGGTGTGACTGATACTGTTTCATTGTGGGCTTGAACAATTTTAGCAACATATGACTTACCCACACCAATAGCCACTGCAATATCTTTAACAATCATAGAAGTTGAAAAGCTATAACTTTTGCAAATTTCCTTGGGCTGCTATCCAGTCTTAATGACTAAATAATTAAAAGCACAACAAAAGAGAGCCATGAAACATTTGTATGATACAAAATCCAGTTCTCAACTGACAGAGAACAAACCAATTTCATCTGAACAAAGTCAAATTTTATGACTCATCTTCTACAGAAATACTGAAATATATACATGACCATTGCTATCACAAAATGAAACCATATCAAAATGATTCCTATTCCCAAATATTTATACCACTATATGTGTAAGGGTAGTAGGTGACTGCCTATTTTAAATATACTCCTACTGCATGACATTTTTCTACTTGTCTTGTCCCTCTGTGGACACTCCTCGAAAGGATATAAAAACATGACATTTTTAACTGGGACATTATTTCTGAAGGATCAGTAATAGTAGTAGTGGTGGTGGTGGTAGTAGTAGTAGCAGTAGCAGTAGCAGTAGCAGTAGTAGCAGTAACACAGATAAAATGCTAGGCCTAGAGTTAGGAAGACCTGAGTTCAAATGTGACCTCAAACACTAACTAGCTATGTGATCCTGGTCAAGCCACTTAACCCTATCTGCCTCAATTTCCTCAACTATAAAGTAGGGATAATAACAGCACCTAACTCCCAGGGTTGTTGTGAGGATCAGAGAAGATAATATCTGTAGAACACTTAGCACAGTACCTAGCACACAGTGGATGCTATATAAATGTTTATTCTCTTCTAATAATAACAATAACAATAGCTAGCCTTTATATAGTGCTTTAAAGTTTGAAAAGCACTTTACATGTATTAATTGATTTGATATATTCTGGTTGAAAAATGACCAGAACGAAGTCAGACACTCTTTAGTGGGACTGGAACAGAAGAAGTAGTAAGTTCTCTGTGTTGGAAAGATGGAAATCAGTCTAGGGAAGCTAGAAATGGAAACTGCAGAAGAGATAAGTGATTAGTCTAACACTATAAAGAGAGGTCAGAACTATTATAGTGGAGTTTGTTTTGGATGTCTTAACAGCTTGGTTGTGAAATGAGATTGATTGGGGCAATATTAATCAAGGAACACTGGTTTTCTATTCATCTTTGGGTAGAGCCCAGAGGACCTAAAATCAGGTAACAGATAGATGAAATGAATATTTGTTCATTTAATGAACAAATAAAAATAAAGGTAGTGACATTGTCTCCAGAAGATCACTATTACAATTCATGTTACCTGGGAAAGGAGGCCCTCTTAGCACATTAGCCAGGATTAGGTTTTCAAATTAGCAGAGGAAAGCAGAGCGGAAGGATCCAAGAGAACAGAATACAGACCAAAGTTTAACTTTTTTAATTGTGTGTTTGTGTGTGTGTGTGTGTGTGTGTGCATGAGAGAGAGAGAAAGAGAGAGAGAGAGAGAGAGAGAGAGAGAGAGAGAGACAGAGAGACAGAGAGAGACAGAGACAGAGACAGAGAGACAGAGAGACAAACAGACAGACATTTAATGAGGGCATCCAGGCTAGTCATCTCTTTGTTTCCCAATTTCCCAATTTCCCACCTGGTGCACTCCTTTGGATTTTCTTCATCATGTCCCAGTAACCTCATTATTCTGCAAGATTACTCCAATCTTGGAGTTTTTTTAATGGAGGATGGAGTGGGGAGCTCCTCCTAAAACCTCCATGTAAGGAATGGTCCTCTCTTTGCTTCTAACCTGATCATAATCCTTTAGACTTCTTCATCATGCCCCTGTATGAGTACTTTTCCCTCATTAGATTGGAAGCACCTTGAGGGCAGGGACTATCTTTTTCTTTTTCTTTCTTTCTTTTTTTGTATTTGTGTCTTCAGCACTTAGCACAGTTTCTGGCACATAGTAGGTATTTAATAAATGCTTATTGATTAAACAGAAAAAAATCATGAATCTTTGTAAAGTTCAGCTTACTTTTTGAAAAGTATACATTAAATTCGAAACATTATTTTCAAAAAACCGTCCTGGTTATGTTTCCCTCTGAACTTTCTTTTTTTCCTCATCTCATTTTAAGATTCTTTAAAGAGAGATCTTTAAAAATCCTCATATTTATTTCATTCTTTTTGGGGTGGGGGACAATTTGTCACTAGCTCCTCTCTAGAAAAAAAATCTACTCCTCTCCAAATCAAAATGGAATAACACAATCTTTATAACAAATAAGCATAGTCAAGTAAAACAAATCTACTCATTTGCCATGTTCAAAAATATGCATTTTATTCTGCACTTTAGTTCAATCATTTCCTTGTCAGAAGGAAAGTAAAATGCTTCATCATCAATGTTCTGAAGTTATAGTTGGTTACTGAATTGATAAGAATTTGTAAGTTTTTCAAAGTTCTTTTCATTTATAATGCTGTTGTTGCTATATAAAATATTCTCTTGGTTCTGCTTGCTTTACCATGCATCAGTTTATGCAAATCTTCCCAGGTTTCTCTAAAATCACACTTTTGATAATTTCTTATGGCACAGTAATGTTCTATTACATTCATATACCACAATTTGTTCAGTTATTACCCAAATGATAAGTACTTGTTTTGTTTTTTCATCTTTACTACAACAAAAAGAGCTGCTATAATAATTTTTGTACATATGGGTCTTTTCTTCCTTTTATCTCTTTGGGATATAAAGTGGTATTGCTGGGTTAAATGATATATACTATTCAGTGACTTTTCCTATCACTGGGTCAAAGGAAGTTAGTTTGGAGACACATTTCCAAAGTGCTTTTCAGAATGACTGAAACAAGTCACAGTTCTACTGGTAGTACATTAATGTGCCTTTCTTCCTACTTCTCCTGCAACAATTATATTTTCCTCTTTTCTCTTTTTTTCTTTTTTTCTTTGCCTATCTGATAAGTGTGAAGTAGAACCTCAGAGTTGTCTTAATTTGCATTTCTCTAATTAATAGTGATTTGGAATATTTTTCATATAGTTGTTGATTTCTTAGATTTCTGTCTTCGAAAATTGCCTATTTATATTCTTTGACTACTGGGGGAATAGCTATCATTCTTATAGATTTGAATCAGTTTCTTTATATTGCTTGGATATTGGATCTTTATCAGAGAAACCTGCTACAAATATTTCCTCCAGTTAACTATTTCCTTTCTAGTTTTAGCTGCATCTATTTTGTTTGTGGGAAAAAACTTTTTTGATTTCAAAACTGTCTATTTCATTCTATGTGATCCTCTATCTACCTGGCACTTTGTAAGTGCTTAATAAATTCTTGTTGACTGACTGTCACTTATTTAGTCATGAATTCTTCCCCTATCCATAGATGCAAAAGGTGATTTCTTCCTTGCTCTTCTACTTCGTTTATGTTGTGGCCTTTGACATGTAGTTCATGTATCCATTTTGAGCTTATTGTGGCATATAGTGTGTCATGCTGGTCTTGATCTAGTTTTTGTCAGACTACTTTCTAATTTTCCCAGCAGTCTTAGTCAAATTCTGAGTCCTTATCTAGTAGTTCAGATTTTTAGGTTTGTCAAACACTATGTTACTATATTCATTTGTTTCTATATGAGAGCAACTAAGTTTTGATGGGGAGAAAAAGAGACAAGATCTTGAAGCTGGGTTTAGTGGGAGACTAAGTCAAGTGAGGTAAAGGACTTACTGACAGAGAACGTGGGGCTTCTTTGTCGATTTCGTAGTTTAATGTCTAGTTTGGGAAACCAAAACTTCAAAAACAAGTCTAAAGAATGGAACCAAAGTAATCAATCACTGAAGGGTTGGCATTTGGATCTGGGGGAAGGGATGATATCAGGTCATAAAGCATTTTGCAAAGCATAAAATGCCATATAAATGTCTTCCTCAGAGACTAAAGCTAAAGAAAGGGTACATGTGAATGTCACTGTACTTTGAATATAGTTGGGAGATGAAGGAGCTTATAAGGGGTGGTCAATTTTCTTAGGGAATTTAAAGACTTTAAATTAAATTTTAATTAAATTAATTGATTAAAATTTAAAGGTCATTTGCTATAAGAGAGGGAGGTGGAGGTGATAGGTCTGAGGAGAGGTAAGAAGGTTTGGACAGTCACTGTGATGAATGTGACAGTAAATCAGAGAAGAATAAAAGTTCTCAGCAGCAGTGAGGGCTTAATCTAGATTAGATACTATGAATTTGTATGGAATCATTTGGCATTATTGTATGACATTCTTTTTAGCAGTCAATCAGTAAACATTTTTTAATTACTTGCTAGCATAGGTACAGGAGTAGAGAAATTCAATGGTGGGGATGGCCCAGAGTTGAGGACAAGGAGAGCATGAGTACAAATAGAACAAGACAGCAAGGGATTCAAGGGTAAAGGACAGTACATAGTTGAATTATAGGGTCAAGGATATGGAGATGAGAAAATAAGAGTAAAGTAAAAGTGATGGACTAGGAGCATAGGAAAAGGTGGAAAGAACATGTTGAGAATAGAAAATGAGATTAAAAGGAGTGGCAAAGGGAGAGAAGAAATGACAGGAAATTATGATCAGGGAAAGGCATTTCAGAATTTGAGGTCATTGGAGTCAGACAGTGATAAGTGATAGTAAGACCAAAAGTATTAACATCTCTCTGAGTGACTGAACTAGAGCCAAGTTCCCAACTACTAGGCTAAGTTCAACAAATCCTCCTGGGAAAACTGGAAAAAAGACTGGCAAAAATTAGGTTTAGACTTTCTACCAAGATAAGCTCCAAATGGATGTTGTTAGATATAAAAAGTCACAACATAAAGAACAATTAGGGGAGTAAGGAAGAAATTACCATTTTCTATTATGGATGGGGAGGTGTTCGTGGCTAAATAAGGAATAGCAAAACTCACAGAAGGTCACAAATTTGTCAATGGAAAAACGTAAATAACATTTAAAAATTTTTTTTCACAAGTTTGGTTTAAAGTTTGGGTAAAATTAAAAGAGAAACTAATAACTGGAGAAATATTTGTAGTTTGTGTATCTCATAAAGGTCTGGTATCCAACCTATTTAAAGAAAGTTATAAGGGACAGCTAAGTGGTGCAGTGGATAGAGCACCGGCCCTGGATTCAGGAGGATCTGAGTTCAAATTCGGCCTCAGACACATAACACTTACTACCTGTGGGGCCCTGGGCAAGTTACTTAACCCCATTGCCTGGCAGAAAAAGAAGAAAAAAGAAACTTATAAAAATACATAAGAATAACAACCATTCCCCAGTAGATAAATGGTCAATGGGTATAAATAGGTAATTCTAACAGGAAAAAAAATTAAAGCAATCAGCAGCCATATAAAATGCTCCAAATCACTAATAATTAGAGAAGTATAGATTAAAACAACCTGAGATTAAAAGAATTAAAATAGCTGTGAAGTAGAAAGTGTATATCCATCATGTTGGCAAAGATGCTTTTAAAAAAAAGAAGAAAACTGGCAATTGTTGAAGGGGCTGAGGGAAGAAGGGCTCACTAATGCATTGCTGATGGAGCTGTGAATTGATTCAGCCTTTGTGGAAAGGAATTTACAATTATGGCCTAAAACTCATACCTTTTGACTCAGCAGAAAGGTCAATATGACCCTATGTGACAATATATGACAAAGAGATCAAAGAAAGAGGAAAAGTGCAAAAAAATACATTAGTAGCTTTTTGTTTGACAGAGAACTAGAAACTAAGGAAGTGCTCATAAATTGGAAAATGGTTGAACAGGTTATAGCACATGAATGTAATGGCATGTTATTGTGCGTAAATAAATGGATGGTGTCAGAGAAATTTAGGAAGACATATATGAACTGATGTAGAGTAAAGTGATCAGAACCAATATAACAATTTATACAATAACAACAAAATTGTAAAGGAAAACAACTTTGAAAGACTTAAGAATTTTTTTTAATGAAGTGACTCACCATTATCCCAAAGTATTAGTGATGAAGAATGCTGCCCACTTCCTGACAGAGAAATGGTGGACCTAAAGTGCAGAATTAGGTATGCATTTTAAGACACAGCCAATGTGGGAATTTTTTTTCTTCACTATGCATTTATGTTATAAAACATTTGTTTTTCTTTCCCTTCTTTTTTAATTAGAAAGGGAAAGGGTTACAGATATAAGGAGGAGGGCTAGTAGTAGGGTTGCCAAGAGCAAAAGATACAGGGAAAAGGTCATTGAAGCAATTTTTTAATACTCAAAGGAGAATAGTAGGATTTCCAAAAGGAAAAAAGTTTTGAAAGTTATGTGTTGAAGTTAAATTCTGAAGAGGAAAAGTTTCATGCTCAATCCACTTTCTGTATTCTACTTTGCATATAAAAATGCTTGTTTTAATTGGTGTTTGTTAAGTTCATAATAAAATTTATCTTAATAAAAAATGTAGGTCATGGTAGCTGAGAAGTTTGATGAACTGGCAGGCCAGAACATTCAGGAAGATGTCGGCAGCTATATTGAAATCTTTAAGTATAAAGACAGAGAAGAGCTAGATACTGATGGCCTGTAGAAAGGAGGAACAATAACCCAATCAGAAAGTGCTTCATAAGACACAAAGTACCATTTTTAAAATGAGCTATTATTAACGACATCAAAACACTATTCATAGCATTTTTTCTGTGGGAAAATGCATTTGCAGTTCCAAATCAGAATGCCACAAACACAGCTCCTTCTGTCTGGCAATATGAGTGGGAACTTAACCCTTCCCCACTTCCCAGCTGCCAGGGGATGGGTGGCCACATGGCGGCATACAGCAAAGCATTTCCTATAGTGGGGAGCAGAAGCTTCAAAATGCCCCGAATTTGGCCACGTTGCTTGAGCAGGTGCAATGCAGAGGGTTTCTAAGGACTCCTAACCCTTAGGAACCAGATCAAAGTTGTTTTCCCATTGGAAGGGAGGACCCAGTATTCAACTGTACCGATACGAACAGAAGCTTTGAAGAGCAAAAAAAAAAATTCATTTAGTTAATACATTTTTATTTGAAAAGCAACAAACAACAAATGGAAAAGAAAACTACATCCATTACTTTATTTCATTCTCACAGCAAACCTGTGACCTAGGCCAGGGTATATAAAGTGGATATCTATGAGATAATCCATGAGGCAGGAAAATATCCGGCCTGTGAGATAATCCATCTGGCAGGAAAAGGCTAAAAGAAGACAGTTTGCCCTTTTATTGGGGTGTCCACTGATTTCATGAATTAATAGGTGGGGTAGGTTGGCAAGGTGCACCTATTGTGTGAGTGAGGCTAGCAACAAAGCCAGTGTGGGACCCCAGCTCAAGTTGTAGCTGCTAGTGCCCTGACCAACCCTCCCCACCATATCAGATGTTCCTCTTCTTTCATTGCCTTTGCTCCTGCCATCTCTAAGCTTGTCCCCTACCACCTCCACAGCCTGATATTGCCACTGCAACTGTGCTGTGGTGCCATGGCCTATTCCCCCAAACCACCTCCTCCACATCCCAGGAATTTATTTATAACTTCCTCATCAAAAGAACCCTCTTTCCCATACCCAGGCAATTGGAACCAGTCCATACATACACTCCTTACCAAGGTAGACATTAGTATGTACATACGTGTGTATATAGATACACATATGTAAATACATAAAATTTAAAATAATATTTAATGAAAGCAACAGTAAATAAAAATCATTTGAAATATTTATTTTATCTTTTAATTTCTATTTGTCTTATAATGTATATAACATTTTGGGATAGCTAAATGGCACAGTGGATTGAGTGCTGTGTCTGGAGTCAGGACGACCTGAGTTCAAATCTGACCTCAGACACTGTGTGACCCTGGGTAAGCCATTTAACCTCAGTTAGACTCAATGTCCTAATGGGAATAATTATAGCACCTACCTCCCAGGATTGTTGAGAGAATCAAATGAGGTAATAATTATAAAGCACTTAGCACAGTGCCTGGCATATAGTGTACTAAATAAAGGGTGGTTGTTGTTGGACAGCTAGATGCTACAGTGGAAAAAGCGCCAAGCTTGGAGTTAGGGAGACCTGAGTTCAAATCCAGCCTCAGACACTTATTAGTTATATAGCCCTGGGCAAGTCACTTAATTCTGTTTGCCTCAGTTTCCTCATTTGTCAAATGAGCTGGAGAAGGAAACGGCAAACCTCTCCAGTATCTTTGCCAAGAAAACCCCAAGTGGGCCATGAAGAGTTAAACATGATTTGAACAGCAACAGTAGTAGTAGAATAGTAGGATATGTATATCATTTATAAATAAAATATATACATATTGAGTACATATATACATAAGTATGTGAATGATCAAAAAATGCTCTACTAATAGTAGTGCATTATCAGAAAAATTGGAAATCATTCATCTATGCATTGCAAATAGTAGTAGCCCCATTTTATAGATGAAAAAACTGTAGCTCAGAGAAATTAAGTGATAAGCTAGTAATTTGCAGAACAAGAACTCAAACCTGAGCTCTTCGGGTCAGAATCCAGTGTTCTTTCCATTATACTGCACTTTCATAATGCTTAAAAAGTCCCTGGCAGTTATTTCAGAAATGGAAAATTGGACCTATGTGGGGTTCCTGAGTTGACAGGAGACCTTGATAGTGTTTTTGACAACTGAGAACAACTTTGTTCTTTGTGATCACAGTTACTATCTGTTTTCTTAGCTGTAAAATGAAAATTAAAATCTCTACCCTGCTTTTATCATGAAGTTGGAGTAAGGTTCAAATGAAATGATGCTTGTGAAGGACTTGGAAAATTAACAACAACAATAATAATATAATAGCTAACATTTATATAACACATTGAGGTTTACAAACACTTTACAAATATTATCTCATTTTATCCTCACAACAATTCTGTGAGGTACTGAGGCAGACAAAAATGATTCACCCAGGGTTGCACAGCTAGTAAATGTCTGAGGCTGAATTTGAACTTAGGTCTTCCTGATTCACCACCTAGCTGTCCAAATATATAATGTCAAGCAAACATATAATTGGGTAGTATCACTGCCCAAGTCAGAAAGCCTCTACCCCATGTAGGAGCCTTATTTCTGTCTCCCAATATGCTGTATTTTCTCCCATCTCCATCTCTAATCTAGAATGAGTATTTCCATTCTTCTCTCTTCCTTTTGGAACATCTAGGTAGGAGAGCACCTTCCCAGGTTTCTCATCTCCATGTACATAGACTCTTTGGCCTGGGGGTCCAATGACTTGGGTTATTGTCCCACTGCCAGTTTCACCTCCAGCTAATTGCCAATAAACACTGGTAAGGTAGTATGACACAGTGATTAGTGTATTAGACCTTAAGGCAAGAAGCCCTGGGTTCAAATCTTGCCTCAATTTAGGCAAGTCACTTAATATCTCTCAGTCTCAATTTCCTCCCCTGTAAAATGGGTGTGATAATAATAGCATCTGCCTCACAGGGTTTCTGTGGGGATCAAATGCATTTAAAGTGCTTTGTGAACCTTCAAGTCCTATCCAAGTACCAGCTGTTACTGTGTTGTGCCTTCACTTGACTATAGTGATTAGGTTACTGGTCTCCTATTGCCAGCAAGTGAACACACCTGCATTTGGAGGTTTTACTGATGCTGACTCACCAGTCTTCTGAGGTAAGGGCAACACTTGAAAAGTTTCCAGAAAGAAGCATTGGGGGTGAGGAGAGGAAAGGATTAGGAGACCAGGGGAAAGTCTGAGATTCTGGTCTTGGCCAGGATAAAGGCTTGACTGTATAGCTTTGGGCAAGTCCAATGATTTCTCTGTGTCTCAGCTTTTCCATTAGTAAAAAACAAAAGGATCCTGAGAGACTAGATTATTGCTAATATCTTTTACAGCCCTAAAATTCTGATTGTGATAGCTGTAGGGTCTTGTAATCTCCCCTCCCCTCCCTCCCTTCTCTTTCCTAAACACATACTTTATCCTTTTTCCAAATATCTTGCAGGTTGGGGAAATCTGGGTGAGGGAAAGTGAGTGGGTAAATAGGAAACTGAAAAAAAAAAGATTTGAAATGTCTCTTTCTGGGCACAAAAATGAAACAAACCAGAAAGCTTCCTGAAAATAGGCCATACAGTCTTGATGGGCACAGGGAAACAAGCAGTTTTGTTTACAACAAACCTGTCTGACAGGTCTCCTACATCTGCATGGATGGTGAAAAGTAGACCAGGAGTCAGTTCTGCCATGAACCAGCTGTGCAGTCTTGGACAAATTGTTTGACCTCTCTGGGCTTTCATCTCTGTATCTGTTCAATGAAAATGGAGAAGGGACTGGAAGGAGGGAAAGATGCAATTTCATCATAGGTTGAGAGCTGGAAACCAACTCTCAGGTCATCTAGTCCAACCCTCCCCCTCCCACCCAGTTTTCAGATGTGGAAACTAAGGGGTTTAGTTTGTGATTTGCTCAAAGTCACACAGATAGTATATAGTATATAGTACATAGTATATAGCAAAGCCAGGTTCTGAACCCAGGTGCTCTAATTGTAGGCCCAATATGCTTTCCATGGCACTAAAGCTGTTTCACGATGGTTGATCTCTTGGTTCTAACATTCCCTGAGTCTATAATGGTTACCTCATTTCAAAGCTGCCTGACAGAACAGTTTAGGTCTTGGTAAAACAGAAGGAAATAGCTTCTTCAGTCAGGCCCACTGGAGGAAAAGAGAGATCAGTCAACAAAGGGTGGGGTCCTCAGCGCCTGTGGAGGGCTTATCCCTAGAAATATGTAGAGATCCTTTTCCCAGTTAAGGGCCCTATCTCGGGATTTGTGGCTAGAAGTCTGCGGAGTCCTGAAGTCAAGAAATTCTGCTCACATCTCTACAAGAAGGCAGAAGGGGAGGGTCTAGTAGGATGGCCTAAAGTGACCCAAGTGACCTAAAGCAGGTTGGAACTTTTAGAGTCTCCCCTCAGGGAGTCTGAAAAGACTGGCATTTGTTTATTTTGGACACTCGTTCTGTTCCAAGAAATGCAAGATTTACATCCCTTGTCAGGGTCATTTAAACAAGACCATGGCTTTTGGAGAGGCAAGTATTTTTGTTCTGTGATGTTTGTCATTTCAGATAAATACTGTATCATGGAAAGCCAAAAGGCATTCAAACACAGGGACAATGCACTTCTTGTGTTTCCCAGACTTTCAGGATGACTGCCTGGTGAATAGGCAGAGGCAAGATCCATAGCTAGAGAGACAGAGACAGAGAGACAGAAAGACAGAGACAGAAAGAGAGAGAGACAGAGACAGAGGGGATAAAGAGGAGGAAGAGCATGCTGTCCTGGGAGAATATGGGATGTCCAAACAGATGCTAGAAGGAAGGAAGGAAGATCATTCTTTGGCAGATAAAAACGCGAAATAGACAGAAGTTCACAGGGTCTAAAATCTCTTATGGTGGTTACAAGGAAAAAGTCAGTCTTGTAGAGAAATGCAGTTTATATCACTGGGTGGGGGAGGAAGTATTCGTGCTGTATATGAGACCATTCATGTAAATCCAGCTATTAAAGTGCCTGCCTGCCCTGCAGCATTACAGCCCGGACCCTTTTTAACATTCATGATCAACTCTCTGAAACACAGAAAGCTGGTAGGAGAATGGAAAAGGTAGGAAGGATCAGGCAAGACTAGTGTGGCATCCAGGAGAAAGGTGGGGAGGGGAAGGAAAGGAAAAAGAAAGAACCTAGATCCCCTTAACCACTCTACTGCTGCATCTGGACAATGAGGGGCTTAGATTAGATGACCTGGGAGGTCCCTCAAAATCTATGATAATTATTCCCTGTGACCTTCCTAGATCCTGTGACCTCCATCCCTGTGGCCCCCTTTTCCTATTGGTAAGTTCCTCCTAGAACCTCCAAGCGCCCAGGCCAGCCATCCTCCATTCCTCTCCTGGCACTGTTTTAAACTCTGGGTTTTGCTAATATGCCCCCATTTGTTTACCTTCCTCTCCCTGCCTCCTTACTTTTCTGCTAAAAGAATCGTCTTGCCCCTAATAGAATAAAAGTTCCTTCAAGGTAGGGACTGCCTTTCTTTTTGTATTTGTTATCACTAACCCTTGCCATAGTGCCTGGCACGTAGTAAGTGCTTAATAAATACTCATTGACTCATTGGCTGACTAAGCCTGTGGGTCTAAAAAAGGTGAGATATTAGAAAGTATTACAGGTACATAAAAGCAATGAAAAAGGCTGAAAGATATAGGAGCAGGAAGTGAGAGTTTTTAGTCAACAAAGGAGTCAGGATTGTAAACATTTCTGAGGAAGGTGAATTCAGATGAACTTCAGAAAGATTTTCATCCTGGACTCCATCTGAGCCCATTGATATGTGTACCCAAACTTCATTCCTGAATCCAAAGATTTGGAACAAGTAAATTCAGTTGACGTAATTTAAATTAAAAAAAGGAGGACAGGGTTCAGTAGATACTATCAGCCCAACGGTGGCTCCCTTGGTGCCTTGGGAGCAGGATGGGCCAGTCATGGGGAGTGGCCCCAATCATGTGATTTGGTGTGCAGCTGAATCACAAAGAAGTATATAATCTCTAGGGGAAGGTTGGGCATTCCAGAAGGACACTAAATTGTACGCATTCCTCAGACAGTCCTCATAGCTAGAGCTGCAGCTCATGCTTTTGTATTGTTTTAGTTTAGAAAGGTTTTACCAGGGTGGGCTGGCATAATTTACTGGAGAACAGCTCTCTATAGGGTGACAAAGAGTTGTTTGTCCTTTGTACTTGAATACGACCAATGGCATCAAGATGTTGGGGTCAAGGTACAGTATGTTTGACTGTGGCTGATCAGTCCAATATGAGCTCAGAAGGCTCTACCACAGGTCAGGCAACAAATGTCCGTTGGAACATTTGGGATGGAGATGTCTCTAGATTTGTGTATCTCATGTTTCCCTTGTGCCACTTTGATTCACAAACCCTGACTTTTGGCATTTTGTTATTTCTAAGGTATAAATGTTCATTTAACAATAGGCTCCCCCCAGCTGGTTTGAGCTGACTCCAATACACCCCTGCTTATACTCTCTCATATGAATTTAAGACCTTAAACTTCTCCTTGGAGTTTTATTTCCATTTTAAGTCTGACATCTGTTATAAAGAAGACCCCAGACTCAGTTCCAAAGACTGGTGTCTCAAAGACTTTTTATTAAAGAGGTTGAAGTGTGTCCTTTCTCGTGAGAAGCAGGCACACCTCCTTTGACCAGGAGAGTGCACCCATACAGAAGCAAGAGCAAGCTTTATAATTAGTAATTGCCTAACTCCTCCTTTCTGGATCAGGATTGGTCCTAATCCTTCTGAGTTACAATCTTCTTTATAAGCCCTACCCTTAACATACATTATGTGCCTAGAATTATGTTGTCACTCCCCTCCCTGGACAGAGAAGTTAGCCTGTCTGCTGATTTCTTATCTACTTGTGTGGAAACTTAACTCTTTTATTTCTCACAATATCTAATTGTGAAGTGAAGGAATTCTTTCCTGTTAACAGAATCTCACTCAGCTGCCAAGCAGGTGGAGTCAGTGGGGCTGCTGAAATCACGTCCTGCAGTGTTGACCAAGACCCCTGTCTTGGTAGATTTAGGGCTAGAAAGTGACCTTAGAAGTCATCTAGCCCAGTCACCTCTTTTTACTGAAACTGAGGCTCAGAGAGATCAAGTGACTTATCCAAAGTCACACAGAGTATGTTCCAGAACTTGGATTTGAAATGAACTCTGCCTCAAAATCCAAAAGATTTTTCCTAAGGAACCATGACTGATTGTTTATTCTCTGTGTGAACTTCAAGAAGTTAGAGCGCTAGGCCTGGAGTCAAGAAGATCTGAGTTCAAATTTGACCTCAGACACTTGCTAGCTGTCCAACCCTAGGCAAGTCATTTGCCTCAGTTTCTTTATCTGTAAAATGAGCTGGAGAAGGAAATGGCAAACCACTCCAGCATCTTTGCCAAAAAAATCCCAAATGGGGTCACAAAGAATTGGATATGAATGAAACAATTGAATAACAAAATGAACTTCAACCTTCTTCATGCTATCATTTAATGTTCTCTCTAACTTGGTGAAGTAGGTGTTCTTATTATCACTCTTTTACTGATGAGGAAACTGAAGCTGGGAGTCACAAAGCTAGTAAATGTCTGAGGCAGGTTATGAACACAAATCTTAAGCCCATCTCTCTATCCACCATCCTCATGCTGCCTCTAAAAGTAGCACAGCTAGAATTCAAGTTCAGGTCCATTGGATCTCCATATAGGATTCTTTTATGCAATATTAGCTTCTTTTTATGTTTTCTCATTTTATTTTTAATTTATACAATAAAACAAGTATTTTTCGTAACATAGCTTCTGCAATGAGTGCAAATGTCTCAATACGTCATGAGTGAAGACAGGCCCCAGTGTAACAACCCCCCACCTCTAGCTTTATGTGGTTTCATTTTGTTTTATTGTGGTTGTTGTTATGGAGGAGGAAGGGACAGTGCTGAAGGTGGGCAAATAGTTTGATTTCTAGGCAAATATCATCACAAGTGTAGTTCTGTTTGTTTACAAAACAATCATACAATTTAAAACACTAAGGGAGATTTTTGACAAGCCCTTCAAGTTTGGGAGACTGATGATAGAATGCTGGGCCTGGAGTCTGGAGGTCTTGGCTTCAAATTTGGCCTCAGCTACTAGCTGTATGACCCTGGACAAGTCACTTTCTGCTTCAATTTCCTCAAGTGTAAAATGAGAATAATAATCACACCTACCTCCCAGGATTGTAGGAGGATCAAATGAGATAATATACGTAAAGTACTTAGCACAGTACCTGGAAAGTAGTAGGCACTTAATAAATACTTGTTCCCTTCCCCCTCTCTGAGTAACAGACAGGGGGGAAGGGATAGAGAAAAGAAGTCAGGAAGGACCAGTTGACAGTTATAAGGCTCTGGTGTAGCCCAGAGTTAAATCTGGAACCAAAAACCCTGGGTTTGAATCCTTGCTCTCCCCTTTATGAACTATGTATTTAGGGTTAAATCACTTAGGCTCTCCCTGAGTTTCATTGGTAAAATGAGCAGGTTGGACTCAATGATATCTGAGGTCCATTTCAGCTCTAAATCTAAGATTGGAAGGAAACTGATCCTATGCTCGAGTCCCTCCTACCAAGGTGGGGGCTTTCTTTGTAATTGTTCAGTCTTTTTAATTGTGTCTGACTCTTTGTGACCCCACCTGGGGTTTTCTTCACAGAGATACTAGAGTGGTTTGCTATTTCCTTCTCCAGCTCATTTTACAGATGAGGAAACTGAGGCAAACAGGGTCAAGTAACACCCATGGTCACACAGCTAGTAAGTGTCTGAGGCTGGATTTGAACTCATGAAGACAGTCTTCCTGACACCAGGCCCAGAACTCTATCCACTGTGCCACCTAGCTGTCCTTGGGGCTTTCTTACTATCAGGTGATTTAAACCCAGGCCCAGTGGATGCCCTTCAAATGGGGCAAATGAACCAAGAGTTAGGGGCTTGCCGCTTTCAGAATCAATTGTAGTTGAGTAGGCAGTGCAGTGGCAACTTTGAGGCTAATGGAGTTGAGTTGGTTTTCCAGTTCAATCATTCATGGGAACCATACAGATAGGTAAAAAGACAAAATTCCCTTGGAAGCAGCTGACAAGAGTGCTGATAGGTACAACTAATTTTTCTCTACTCAGAGAAATGGAGCCAAATCAAGAAGGGGAAGTGATAATTGAAGGGAGGGGGTGGGAATTTTTAATCATCCCCTTCAGATCAGTGGCCTCTCAAATTAAGGGTCCTAAGTTCATGAATTCCCAAGAATGATGCACAGTGGGTAGCCAAGGAGACATCCATCTCTATAGGATACCGATTTGTCTTTGACTATCTTCAGAGAAGAGTCTACACAGCTTAAGGTAGTTCCCATACAGAGATGAAAGAATGTGCTGTAATGGACTCTTTTTATCTGTGATTCCATTTTGTCAGCATTACATTGGGTCTGTGGTTAACAAAATAATATAAATGTTCATATGTGTCATTGGAAGCATGATGTAATAGAGCTGGCCTGAAAGTTACAAATAATAATAATAACGATAGCTAGCATTTATATGGTGCTTTAAGGTTTATAAAACATCTTATAAATATTATCTCATTTTATCCTTACAACAATTCTATTATCTCCATAATAGATGGGGGAACTGAGGAAGACAGAGGTTAAGTAACTTGCCCAAGATCATACACCTAGTAAGTATCTGAAGCAGGTTTTGAACTCAGTTCTTCCTGATTCTAGGATGCCCACTGTATCCACTGCGCCACCTAGCTATCAAAAGAAGACCTATGTTCCCATCATACCTCTCACACATGTTGGCTGTATGACCCTGGAGAAGTCATTTAACCTCTAAGTACTCTAAACAATACAACGAGTATCAATTGCAAAGAAGGTACAACCTCTATTGGTAAAGGGAGTCCTTTCACCTGGGAGTTCTCTACACCAGTAAATCACAGGGAAGCTAGGTGGTATAGTGGATAGAGTACCAGGCCTGAAGTCAGGAAAACTCTTCTTCATATCACTTCAAATCTGGCCCTCAGACACTTACTAGCTGTGTGACCCTGGGCAAGTCACTTAACCCTGTTTGCTCCAGTTCTTCATCTGTAAAATAAAGTAGATATTACTAACAAAGCCCAGCAGCAAGAGATAGAGAAATTCCATTTAAAGTAGACAATACAAAATATTTGGAAGTCTACCTGCCAAGACAAACTCAGGAACTATATGAACACAATTACAATGACACTTTTCACACAAATAAAGTCAGATCTAAAATATCAGTTACTCATGGGTAGGCCGAGCCAATATAATAAAAATGACAATTCTACCTAAACTAATTTCTTTATTCAGTGCCAAATCAATCAAACAACCAAAAAATTATTTCATAGAGCTAGAAAAAAAAATAATAACATTCATCTGGAAGAACAAAAGGTCCAGAATATCAAGGAAACTAATGAAAAGAAATGCAAGGGAACCTAACCATACCAGATCTTGAATTGTATTATAAAACAGCAATCATCAAAATTACTTGATACTGGCTAAGACATAGAATGATGGATCAGTGGAATAGGTTAGGTGCACAAGACACAGTAGTCAATGACTATAGTAATCTACTGTTTGATAAACCCCAAAACTCCAGCTTCTGCGATAAGAACTCACTATTTGACAAAAACTGCTGGGAAAACTGGGAAACAGTATGGCAGAAACTAGGGATAGACATATGCCATAGACATAGGCATTTAGCACTGTACACCAAGATAAGGTCAAAATGGGTATACAATTTAGGTATAAAGAGTGAAACCATAAGAAAATTAGGAGAGCAAGGAATGGTTTACCTGTCGGATCTATGGAAAAGGGAAGAATTTATCATCAAACAAGAAAGAACTTTATGAAATGCAAAATGGATAACTTTGGTTACATTAAATTTAAAAGGTTTTGCACAAACCAATACAACCAAGATTAGGAGGGAAGCAGAAAGCTGGGAAACTATTTTTCTAGCCAGTATCTCTGATAAAGGCCTCATTTCTAAAATATGTATAGAACTGAGTCAAATTTATAAGAGTACAAGTCATTGCTCAGTTGATAAATGGTCAAAGGATATGAACAGGCAGTTTTCAGAGGAAGAAATTAAAGCAATCCACAGTCATATGAAAAAGTGTAACTAAATCACTGTTGATTAGAGAAATGCAAATCAAATCAAAACAGCTTTTAGGTACCACAACACACCTATCAGATTGGCCAACATGACGAAACAGGAAAATGACAAATGTTGGAAAAGATGTGGAAAAATTGGAACACTAATGCATTGTTGGTGGAGTTGTGAACTGTGCAACCATTCTGGAGAGCAATTTGGAACTCTGCCCAAAGGGTTATAAAACTGTGCATACCCTTTGACCCAACAATACCACTTCTTGGTCTGTATTCCAAAGAGATCACAAAAATGGGAAAAGGACCCTCATGTACAAAAATATTTATAGCAGCTCTTTTAATGGTGTCCAAGAATTGGAAATTGCATCAATTGCAGAATGGCTGAACAAGTTTTGGTATATGAATGTAATGGAATGTTATTGTGCTATAAGAAATGGTAAGGAGCTTTTTGCAGTGGCAAAGAATTGGAAATTGAGGGAACGCCCATCAATTGGGGAATGGCTGAACAAATTGTGGTATATGAATGTAATGGAATACTATTGTGCTGTAAGAAATGATGAGCAGGTGGACTTCAGAAAAACCTGGAAAGACTTACACGAACTGCTGCTGAGTGAAGTGAGCAGAACCAGGAGAACGTTGTACACAGTAACAGCAACACTGTGCAACGACCAACTGTTAGACTTAGTCCTTCTGAGCAATGATCTAAGACAATACCAATAGACTCATGCTGGGAAATGCTATCCACATCCAGAGAAAGAGCTATGGAGTCTGAATGCAGATCGGAGCATACTATTTTCTTGTTGTTTTTTGTTTTTTTTCTTGTAGTTTTTCCCTTTTGTTCTGAACACGACTAATGTGGAAATGTGTTCAATATGATCACACATGTATAGCCTATAACAGATTGTATGCCATCTTGCAGAAGGGAGAGTAGAGGGAGGGAGGAAAAAATAGAACTCAAAATCTTATAAAAGTAAATTTTGAAAATGAAAAATTAATTAATTAAGAAATAAAATAAGCTGGACAAGGAAATGGTAAACCACTCTAGCATCTCTGCCAAGAAAACCCAAAATGGGGTCACAAAGAGTTGGATACTGAAATGACTGAACAACAAAGCTCCTATACCTCTCATGAAATAAAAATTAAATCATCCTCTTTCCAAGGGCATGATAAGTTACACTGCATTAAGCAGAATGATTTGTAATTATTTGAGCCATTGGGACATGGGCATAAAATTTGATTGAATTAATATAATTTATATGGATAATAGTAACTTATCCATATATTTTGTGCATGAAATTGTATTTCTCTTGTATAGTCACAATGATATATATATGTATATGTGTGTGTGTGTGTGTGTGTGTGTGTGTGTAGCGTAGTGAATAAAGAACTAACCTTGTAGTCAGGAAAGAACTAGCTCTGACACTCGCCATGTGACTCCAGGCAAATCAATTAACTTCTCCTTGTCCAGACTAGAAGTTCAGGCAACACTGATCTGTATAGGTGGAGAGAATTACTACATCAGGAGTTCCTCCACACCAGTGGAATGCTAGATTTCAACAAAAAAAAAATTAAGATTATATCTTATCTGATAACCATTTAAGTGAAGGACTTGTTGCCACAGTAACTGGCTGCTTACATGGACACAAAGAATTGATTTCCAAGTACACTCGTATCTCATTTCTCTTTTATCCTTAAATACATTTTTAAGTTTGTTTATAAGAGCTCTATTTTGAGGGGTGGGGAAGAGTTAAAGTTTAGTGGGAAAAATGACAGTGATATAAAAAAGAGTGAAAATACCATCAATGAAACATTAACAATACACAAAATAGAGCAGAAGAACGTTCAGACAAGATGGACACTTTTGATAACTGAAAATAAAGTTGTACAGGCTGTCTCCAAAGAGACATTGTGTATAATATTAGTTCATGATTTCACATAAAATTCTCTTTTTCTGTTCTTTTATATGGGAATGTTCAAGTTTGTTGATGTTTTTCAAGTTCATATTATGTATATATATGTATGTATGTATGTATGTATGTATGTATGATTCTAATTCCATGGTATAATTTCATGTTTCAATACTCATTCATATTTTTTTAATTGCCATGCAATCTAATGGGGTAACTAGAATATGGTTTATTTGCACTTAGGGTATGAACATATCAACACTGAGGAACTTGGAAGAAGAATGAGCAAAAGATGCCCTCAGGGAAATGTATGAGAAGAGAAGATGGGCGGGTCATTTGTCAACAGTAAGTGATGACAGGTGGCCAACCAGGGAGGTCTTCCAGTAGCTTTATGATATCAGGAAATAGCAAGGAAGGCTTCCAGCACAGAGGACTCCCTATGATGAATATATGGGAGGACAAGGACAAGTGTCCTTGAAGATGCATAGGCATTATTGGGTTGTGACCTGCATCACTGGAAGAAACCTCCAAATCATGGATCTAAGTATTTGAATACTGATTATTCATCTAGAAGCATTTATTATGCACCTCTATGTGTCAGGCACTATGCTTAGGTGTTAGAGATGCAAAGACAAAAATGTAACAGTCCTTGCCTTCCAGGAGCTTACATTTGATTGCAATGTAGAATGTTAGAGGTGAGAGAAATCATAGAGACTATGCTAGTCCAATCTCTTTATTTTGCAAAGCAGGAAAAATCAGTGTGGCAACAGATGCTAGTATTGATCTGAGGTCACATTTAGTTAATTGTAGAGCTGGTACTGGACTCCAAGTTTTGTGCTGCCACTGAGCCAAGAGATCTTTTCATATTTCTGGGGCGCAGAGGAACTGTAACCTACAGTGAACCTAAAGATGAGCTGTACAGGTACCATAAAAAGGCCAAGATATGTTTTTAATACTAATCATTCTGTGATACAGAGAGTTATAGAGTTGCTAGTATCCTTCAGAAGCTAGAGCTACTCACTGGCAGCACCTTTTATCTGAAATCTGACTTATAGGTATTTGTTACCCAAGGACACCAGCTCATTTCCTCAGATGGTTAGTCCTTATTATAGAACCACAGAATTTTAGAAGCTCCTCCTTGCCCCATTAGTAATCCAAACAAGACAACCATTTTGGATAACATGTATCTATGACCCAAGGAAAGGGAGGTTTTTTCTTTGTTTTCCTTTGAGACTCTTCTGGGTCCCCTTTTGTTATGGGTGATCTACTGTATCTAATCTCCTTATGTAGATCTTAGAATCATACATATGGAAAGTCAGTCAGTTGATTATCAATCAAATAGCATTTACTGCACAGGAGGGAAGGTCCAGCTAATCAGGAGCTCCGCCTGAAGAGGTAGGAAGACATGGCCTGTGTGGTTCTCCTTAAAATGGAGGTTCTGAGAAAAACTAGCCCATCAGAGGAAGAGGCCGCAGAGGCAGACAGGGGCACTTCCAGAGATGAAGTGAGTTTCTAGGGTAAGGAGATTTCTGTAGCACACATGACAGAGAAAGTCTGGGAAAGTCAGGAAAAGGGGCCCTTTTGATTTCTGGAGTTAGTGGTAGGTGGTAGACTAGATAAGGCTGACCATGCCACTCCTCTCCTGAAAAAGCTTTAATGGCTCCTTATTTCCTCTAAGATTAAAAAAAACTCCTCTGGTTGGAATTTACAGTCTGCCTCCAACTTTTTTTTTTTTAAAGCCAAACTGGCCTGCTTTCTTTCCTCAACTCAACATTCCTTCCTCCCTGCCTCTGTGCTTAGAATGCTGTCTTCTCTTCTCACCTCTGCCTCTTGGAATCCCTAGGTCGGTCAGGTTCCTTCAAGGTTCAAAGCAAATAATTCAGCTTCTGCAAGACCCATTTCCTAAACTTGCCACTTGTTAGGACTTTTCCCCTCCCCATGTGTTGAAGTTCAGGGGTTTAGGGGTACTGGGATCCCTAAATCACAGCAGATAGGGTCCTGCTCAAAAGAATTCAACCCAAGCCTTCTTTCAGCCAAAGACCAGGTTTATTAGAACATCCTCCATATTGGCCAGACTCTTAAGGAATCTGAACATTACTGAGCTATTGGCTAGATTATAAAAATCTGAGCAATGGCTAGATTTTAATGGAGACAAGATGGACCTTATATATAGAAAGACTGTGGGAGAGGTCTAGGAGTGGCCAAGTGGTCTGGGGGGGGGGGGGGGACCTGGACCACTTGGCCAAGACAGCATGGAGTCTAGATAGGATTAAGGGTGGGAAATGGCCAGGGGCAAATGGGAGTTAACAGAACAGAATTGGGAGATTGGGCATAGCCACATGAAAGGCCAGTTGATAGAATTATAGTCTTAGGCCAAGGCCTGAGATTTGGCCAGGTGGGAAAGTCCAGGGTTTTTTCCTTTTTGGGATCCAGATCCCAAAGACTTGGTCTTTTCCTTTCAGGGGTTCAGATCCCATCCCCATCAGATGAAGATAGAGTCTGGGGCCCAGAAGAAGATTTAAATGACCTAAAGTAGCCCTGGGCCTAAACATGAGTTGTTTTATGACAGATGCCATAAAAGCACCAAGTTACTGATTTGTTACCAGTAAACTATAAAATTATATACCTCCCCTCCCATCTAAATGTAATATAAGCTGCTTGAAAACAGGGGCTGTTATAATTTTTCCTTTTTTTTTTGGAGACTTCAGGACCCTACATAGTGCCATGGTACATAGTAGACACTCATTAAATCCTAGCAGAATTGAATTGAATTGAATTGAATCCAGTGGAAAGAGGCTGGAGGAAAAATTCAGAAAGCACATCACAAAACAAAGTCCTTAAACAAATCATTCTTAGCTCCCAGGCTGTTCAGAAAGAGGACACTGGCAGGATTTGGCCCATGGGTTGTAATTTGTCTAGTGCAGATAGTAGTCTTATCTATAAAAAAAGAAAAAAGAAAGAAATAGTAAAGGAGATAGAACAGAGTGGACCTTATTGTTGTTTGTCCTTCATTTTTGAAGAGGACCAATGACATCACAGGTGACTTGTATGTGAAGTGGATTTAAGTGAGGCAGAGTTGCACAGTCATCAGCCTCACTCTGTCTTCCATACTCGTCAAGGTCCAACAGCGTGACAAAATTCAAGATGTTCCAGGATACAGTTGATGGCCTTGGTGTCTTCCATATGGGTCTGACCAAGCACTAAACACTCCACAGCTGCTTTCCTGGCTGTCAGAACAAATTGTTCTCATCTGCCCATTTCACTGGGGGAGGTCTTTACATGCTTGGGGATAGACACCCTCTTAACTCACTGATGGGTTTGAGGCCTGTTGATTATCCTCAAACTGGTTTAGCTCATTTGCAGACATGTGAAGTTTGGATTCCGTCAAAGGGCAGCACTTAAGGACCTAGAGGGCCACATGTAGCCTTGAGGCTGCAGGTGCCCCAACCCTGACCTAGAACAGCATTTCTTCCCCCACCCCATAATAGTTTTTGCCAAAAAATGAAAAGCCAATAGCCACCTAGAAAACAAAAAGAACAGCTTTCAGCAGCTAAAAATAAAGAGTAAAATTTTCAGCCCCCAAAAAGGGAGCATTTGCAGCAAGGTGGCACAGTGTTATGATAAAGTACTGACCCTGGAGTCAGAAGGACCTGAGTTCAAATGTGACCTCAGACACTTGACACGTCCTAGCTGTATGACCCTGAGCAAATCACTTAACCCTGAATGCCTTACTGGAAAAAGAAAAAAAAAAGGGGAACACTTCTGAATTTCCCCTGTTTAAGGCCATCTGTAGACTAAATGGAGGTACAGGAAAGGACCTGGTGCTTGAATGACAACTGGTATCAGCCTCTCAAAGGCAAGCCTCACTTCAGGATGTGGAAGTATAAATTACTATTGCTAGACCTTTACCTCATGTACTCTTAGCTAGGTGGCACAGTAGATATAAGACTGGGCCTGGGGTCAGGAAGATTCGTGTGTTCAAATCCAGACTCAGACATTTATTAGCTGTGTGATCCTGGACAAGTCATTTAATATGTTTGCCTCAGTTTCCTTATTTGTAAAAAGGAGATAATAATAGCACCTACCTCCCAAGGTTATTGTGAGGATCAAATAAAATAATAATTATAATGCATTTAGCACAGTGGCTGCCGCATATAAATGTTAATTATTATCATTATATTATTGTTGTTGTTATTCTGTGGCTCCATATTTAGTAGCACCAGGCTACCATACATACTTGTAATTTGGGATCCCTGGAGAACACCTTTCCTGGGTTAAAGGTATTCTGTTTGTCTGTATTCCCTAAATTGAAGCTTATGAGTTCCCCGCTAATGTATTACACTTCCAGTAGTAAGGAAGGATGCATGTAGTTCAAATTAAGGACATTTATTGAAATGGTATAATTAGAAACATTATATCTCCCATATAAATTTATAATATACTCTCAAAATAGACAATGACTAATTGAATGAATGTAAAAAAAAAACCCATACTCTCCTACCAATAGGAATAGTATCAGAAGAAGAATGGAGGCAGAGTTCAAAAGTGGCGTTGTGGCTAGGTTCATGTGAAGGACAGTTCGTACCTGTGATATTGCCAGATGTCTTCCAGCTACCCTATTTACCTTTGCTACATAGTCTCTGTTGGACATTCTGGGTACATCCCTGAAGCTGCTGAATATTGATCCACTGAAATATCTTGGCCAGGTTACTGCTATGTACCTGCTCCTTTGTGTTAGCTAACTCTTTTCTTTTTTGTCTCTTTTTTTCTCTTTTAAAGAAAGCAGTCACCTGACCCCAGGATTAGAAGAAGCTTTCCCCTGTTTTGCCCTCTTGGCTTAAAGATTACCAATCACCTAAGAATGAGACTCTTAGCCCCAAGTGCCAAGCTCTTTAGAACAAAGAATCTTCTCACTTGGAAGAAGTCACCATCACTATGGCTACTACTATGTATCTATTCCAGGTACACAATTTCCTTAAGCCTGATTCCTTGGGCTAATGCCACCTCATGCTACCCATCCTTTGTCTGACCAACCAGGACTTTTTCCTGCTACAATCCACTTTCCCTTTGAAACCTACTTATCTGTGTCTCAAGTCCTTCATCTGTTTTCCAAGGTGACAATAAATAATATGAGAATAAATATTCTGTTCAGGTTTACTTTGGCAGAGGTGAGATATTGTGGAAACAGCTGTAGGCTTGGAGTCAGAAAGGGCAGGGTGACATCCCAGCTCTATCATTTATTAACTTTTATTATAATCATGAAAGCCACTTAATTCTCTGATCCTGTTTCCTATTCTTTAAAAGGGGGACAATTTCTTCCTCACCTCCGCTTCTCAGAATGGCTTCTTTTTCCTTCAAGACTCAACACAAGCAGGGCAGCTAGGTGAAACAGTGGATAGAGCACCAGCCCTGGAGTCATGAGGACCTCAGTTCAAATTCAGCCTCAGACACATAACCCTCACTAGCTGTACGACTCTGGGCAAGTCATTTAAACCCATTGCCTACTCAAAAAAAAAAAAAAAGACCAACACAGGCATCACCTGAAGCTTTTCCTGATCATTTCAGCTGCTAGTTGGCATTAAATGAGATAATATTTGTTGGGTAGCTAGGTGGCCCAGTGGATGAAGCGCCAGCCCTGGAGTCAGGAGAACCTGAGTTCAAATCCAGCCTTAGACACTTATGAGCTGTGTGACCCTGTGCAAGTTTTCTCATCTGTAAAATAATCTAGAGAAGGAACTGGCAAATCACTCCAGTGTCTTTGCCAAGAAAACCATGAATGGGGCCACAAAGGTTTGGGCACTTCTGAACAATAACTGGAGAAAGTATTTATAAAGTGTTTATAAGTGCTTAGCACATAATAGTGACTTAATAAATATGTATTCCCTTCCCCTACTGTCCTTCTTGCCAATTACCTTATAATATATATACATATGTATGCACATAGAAGAAAAAATATGTATCTGTGTATACATATATTATGCGTGTGTGTGTGTGTGTGTATGTAAATTTAAATGCATTTACATATGTATACGTTGTTCTTCTGAAAGTAGCTTCTTGAAAGCAGGAACTTTTTTTTTCTTTATACTCCCACTGGAATATAAAGCACATAGTAGGTACTTAATTATATGCTTGTTGATTAGTTGGTGGTTATTGGGAGGAAAGTGTTTGTAGACCTTATGTAAATGTGAGCTATTACTATTGCTGTTATGATTCTTACCAGGAATTCAGAATAAAGTGAAGGGTGATTCTGCAGAAAGAAGGAGGGAGTAGCAAAGAAAAAGGCACAATGCGGCATTTTAACTTATAGAGAGCAGTCATTGAATATACCATTAGAGTTGTTTCTGGACAAAATTGTGAACCATATTCAGAAAGGTGCTGTTATATGTTTAACAAACAGCTCTCTAGGATGGGGTGGTGTATGCATGGCACTCTTTTAAATTTGATCTATATTATGTATTTTCCATCACTTTCTTCAATCTAGACAATCAACAACAACAAACAAAATTAAGTCCTGATTTGTAGCATCTGCCCATTTCTGAGATACAAATGCTCCCACTGAAACTTAATAATCAGTTCTCACAAACCAGTTCAAGCTGGCTTCAGCACACCCCTGATGATGGACCAAGTAGAATAGAATATGGTGATAAAGCTCATTCTTATCTCCCTCTACTTCATCTTTCAGAGTCTCCTCCCCTCCTCCCTCTGGTACCTCCAAGCAACTCCTGCATGAGGATCCAATGTGAGGCTGCTCTTCCTCTGTCCCTTCAGCTGATTAAAATTTTCTTTCCTGTTTCTCATTCCCATCCCAATAGTTATCACAATGGAAAGAGATCTGATCAGCCAATCAGAGCTTAAGATCATGACATCATAGATTTAGATGTGGACCTTTGAAGCAGCAGAGTGTAACATCCTCCTTTTACATATTAGGAAACCAGGGCTCAATGAACTTAAAAAGTCACACGGCTATTTATGAAGCTAGTAAGTATTTGAGATGAGATTTAAACTTACATCTTCCTAATACCAAGTGCAGAACTCCATTAGCTAACCCAGGCCACCTTAATGTGATTCATACTTCTACTACTCTAGCTTACCCTTATTGCCTCTGCCCGGATCACCATCATAGTCTTCCTGATTGTTCTCCTGGATCCAAGCTCTCCTTTTCCAACTCATTTTTCATAACACTGCCAGAATCTGGGATGGATGACCTCAGTTTTTCAGTGAAGGTGAAAGCTTTTACTGAGGGGGAGGTGGGAGGTGCTGGTGTCATTCACTTGAAGACAGAAGTTTTGAAACACCTTTGCAGGTCGTGATAAAATTCGTCAGGGAGATGTAGAATTATTGTACAGAAGTGAGGAAGGACATGGTTGAAGTTGGTTAACACACATTTGTAGTGGACACTTCCAGTGCTTTTGTATCATTTCCTCCAGTGTCATCAACTGTAGAAGCAAAAAGAAAATGGTGTAGTGGACAGAGCAGCAGGCCTGGAGTCAGGAAGACATGAGTTCAAACCCAGCCTCAGACACTTACTAGCTATGTGACCCTGGGCAATTCACTTCACCCTGTTTGCCTGAGTTTTGTCATCTACAAAATGAGCTAGAGAAGGAAATGGCAAAGCACTCCAATATCTTTGCCAAGAAAACCCCAAGTGGGGTAATGGAAAGTCAGACGCTGCTGAACAAAAACAACAGAAAGTATATAATAAGAGTAAGCCAGGGTTGGGTTTTACAAGAGGATGAACCACAATAGGGCAAATGGAGAAAAGAATTCAAAGACTTAGAGCATTGTAAAGTCAAACTGCTTCACTAATGGCTCAAGATTTCGAAGACAGGAAAGTGACATGAGAGCAGGCAATGGCCTCAGAAAGCAGGACAGGGCAGGGGAGAGAGCCTAGAGGCTGGAGAAGAGGACACTGAAGAGGTTTCAGAGCAGTGAGACACAGAGAAATGGGAGGAGATACAGGAGCTCTGAGTTGTGGTGTTTGGGGTGGAATACCTAAGGATGTTGACAAGATCCAGGGTATGACCATCTGTGTGTGGAGTGAAACATTATAGGGAGTGAGAAAGAGGAAGAACTTGGAACCACAGAAGTTATTTGTAAATTGAAGTACCCAGGTATGATGCCTTTGTGTGATTTCATTGGCATAAGGAGCTCCCAGACCATGAAGTTTCCTCTATCAAAGCAGGCCAGCACCTTCTCTGTGACTCTGGTAGTAGTCACATATACATACATACATGTATAGTCTTACATACATATATAGTCTTACAGAGATATCTGGATCATTGAGAGGTTAAGTGACTTGCCCAAGGTCATATTGTCAGTTTGTGTTGAGAAATAGGACATGAACACAGGTTTTCCTAACTCTTAGGCCAGTTCTCTATCTGCTCAGACAAGCTGGCTCCAAGGAATCACAGATCCAGGAAAAATAGGTACCCTAATGCACTGTTGGTGGAGTTGTGAACTGGTCCAACCATTGTGGAACACAATTTGGAACTATGCCCAAAGGGCTATAAAGCTGTACCCTTTGGCCCAGCAATACCACTACTACATCTACCATGAAGACAGGCATTCCATCTCCCATCTCCGTGTCTTTGCACTGGCTGTCCCCCATGTCTAGAATGTTTTCTTTCCTCTCCTTCATGTCTTAGAAACCCTGTTTTTCAGGTCTTTCCTTTGTCCACCCCTCCCCCAACTGCTAACAACAACAGCAACTAACATTTATGTAGCATTTACTATGTATCAGACACTATGCTAAGTGCTTCACAAATATTAGTCAATCCTCACAACAGCTTTGGAACGTGAGTGCCATTATTGTCCTCATTTTTCAAATGAGGAAACTTGGGGAAAAAGTAGTTAAGTGACTTGCCCAAGGTCACACAGCTAGTAAGTATATGAGATGGGGAGGCTTCCTGGCTGCTGTACCTAGCTATTAGAGCCTTTCCCTCTAAGATTACCTTTTAGCTACACTGTATAAATCTTGCAAGTACTCACTTGTATACACATATCACTCCCATTAGACCACAAGCTGATGATATATATAATGAATAATCTAAAACTCCTTTGTGTTAATTTCATCCTTTCAACAATATCATTAAATGTTTACCTTTTGGAAGAATGAGAAGCAATATGGCATGTGCAATATGGCAGTCAGTCTCATATTCTGGAAGACATGGGTTCATGTTGTACTTGTGACACAGACCTTAACCTTTGAGTGTCCCCAGGCAACTCACTGAGATTATAAATTGCAGAGCATGTGTGGCTGTCCATTGGTAAAGGGAATTCTTTATATTAATTAGATCACAGGTGATCAGGTCATAGGATCATACATTTGGGTCATAGAAACCAACCCCTTCATTTTACAGATAAGAAAACTGAGGCTGGAGCTGCTAAGTAACTTACCAAGGGTCATACTGCTAAGATGTGTCTCAGGTGGGATTTGAGCTAAGTTCTTCATGGGCTCACGTTAAGCAATTTCCTCAACTTGCTTATTCCATGGGTGAGTGAGCTTGCATGGGTAAGAATAAAAGTTTTCTAAGAGGATACTGAGCACAATGGTTCCATTCCCAGTGAAAGAGAGAAAACTTTCTGTCTAACTTGGCCAGGAAGATACTAAAGGCTTGGAGTTTGGGGAGCTATTGGAATCAAGAGGAGCGCTTGCAAAGCTCCAAAGAAAGACAAGAAATGAGACCCTGTATTCCCATTGTCCCATTGTGTTAGAAACTAGAAGACTAACATGTGGGTTAGTACCCAGTAGTAGTACCATAGTGCCAGCTATGCCAATAAATGACCAGAGGCAGGTCACTTAACCTTCTCCTGAGTCACTCAGTTTCCTCATCTATAAAAAGAAAAGATTAGACTAGATGATTTCTAAGATCTGCCCAAGGTGCCCAGGAAAGAAAGGGCTCTATTATTTCTGTACATAATAGTTTCTAACCCACTACTATCTCTGCTGACAGTAAGGGCTTCTTGTTTCTCATTTTGAGCAATTATGACACTATGATCCTAAGTGCTAAATGGAATGGTACAGAGGAGAGCTCAGTAAGGACTTGAGTCCATGAGATAGCCCTTGAAGAGTAAGCAACATTTGCCAATTATGTCCAACTCTTTGTGATCCCAAGGACTTGTTCATGGGGTTTTCTTGACAAAGATACTGGAGTGGTTGCCATTACCTTCTCCAGTGCATCCCAATCTTACAGATGAGAAACTGAGGAAAGTAGAGGTTAAATGACTTGCCCAGGGTCACAGAGCTAGTAAGTGTGTAAGACCAGATTAACAGAGCCTCCTGACTCCAGGACTGACCCACTGCACCATGTACCTGCTCCCAGCATTTGCCTCTCTTACATCAGATACTATCTTTCTCCTCCTACTTTGGTGACTCCCTTCTTCCTGTCTTCCTTAGCTGCCGAAGAGGCAAGAGCCATTGTGGTTTAGGCTCATAGGCTCAAAATTTTAGAGATGCATGGGACCTTAGAGGCCATCAAAAACAGCCCTTCATTTTTATTTATTTATTTATTTATTCATTCATTTTGTTGTGTGGTGTTAGTTTTGTTTGTTGAGGCCAAGTCCCTGTTATTGTTCAGTTATTTCAGTTGTGTCCAACTCTTTGTGACCCCATTTTGGGGTTTTCTGGGCAAAGATACTGAAGTGGTTTGCCATTTCCTTCTCCAGCTTATTTTACAGATGAGGAGACTGAGGCAGAGTTAAGTGACTTGCCCAAGATCACATAGCCAGCAAGTGTCTGAGGCCAGACATTCTATGCACTGCACCAGCTGCCCTAAGTCTCTCTAGCCCATGCTAAAAATTCAGCTGTTGATCCACAAGGAAGCTATAAGGTGCTCCATCTCCAAAATGTGCCAGTTTGCCCCTCCTTGGGCAGTCTGAGCCCACCCCACCCTTCTATCTCAGGGTTACTACAGCTCAGAATTCCTCAAGCTCAAGGGATCTACTGGCTTCATCCCCCCTAGTAGCAGGAATTAGAAGCTACACCACCATGCCTGGCACTAACTCCCTCATTTTACATATGAAGAAATGAAGGCCTAGAGAGGTTAAATGATTTCCCCAGGGTTACACAGTGAGTAATTGTCTGAGGCAAGAGCTGAACCCAGATCTTTCGGGAATCTCTGCTATTAAATACTACTCATTTAACTAAATGCTTATAGTGGACCCCTGGGAGCAGGGGAGACAATACTGATGATTATTGTAACATTGTTATATATTACAATATAACAAAAATTATTATAACCATCAATACGTATTGATGGTTACAATTAATTCCCCCTTTGTACACACTAGAAGTAGAGGCTGTTGTCTCAAAGAGCATGGTGGTGATTAACCACAAACCTCCACTTTCCACCATCCCAATTAAATTCAATTAAAAAAAGCATGTGATTAAGCATTTCCTTTGTGCCTGACACTGTCCTAGGCAAGGAATATCTGAAGGAAAAAAAATGAAACAAAATGAAAAAGCTCATATTCAGAGCATATATAGCAAGTACGCAGAAAAATAAATTGAAACCAGAAAGAAAATAAACAAGGAATCCAAGAGGGACAGCATTAACTCCTTCTGTAAGAGATAGCTACACCATGCAGTGGATAGAGTTAAGAACTTAGAGTAAAGGAGACCTGAGTTCAAATGTGACACATACTAGCTGTTTGACCCTGGGCAAGTCACTTAACCTCTGTTTGCTTCACCTTCTTCATTTGCAAAATAGGGTTAATAGCTGACGCCCAGCATTTTGTGAAAATCAAATGAGATATTTGTGAAGCACTTAGCATAGTTCCTGGTACCT